TAATCAAGAACTTTGGTCTCGAAAGATGTTCGGGCACTGTCGTAGATTCGTTGAAGTTAGAATTCACCACCACTGGACCTCAACTCATCTAGTCATTCACGCGCGAATCTAAAGTTCTTGGGGTCGTGGATACGAACTGCTGAGAAGTTCCATACTAGGATGTAACTGCTATCCAGTGCTTCTAGGTTCTTAGTAGTTGTTTAACTTTAATTGATTTATTTTAATTTAAATGATGTTCAACAACATCCACAATCCTACATTGGTAATTTTTAAATTCCTTGTATTTCCATCCATATATTATTGGTTTATTGTTTCGCATCACTTTCACGTATTAACGAACTCAAATACAATCCAGACTTCTTGTTGTCTCTATCAAATACTTCAAATCCGTCATCAGAAGCAAGTCATCAACCCAATGAAGATCAATCATCAGTTGATACTAAAATAGCATGTGTTAATTCGCTCTCGGTAAGTTCCATTCTTTTTCAGCTTCCATCTACTTTTGCTTTTTTTGTCACTTTTTAACTGTTGTAGAATGCTTGCCGATTCTCTTTATTTTAAAAGTAATTTTTTATCTTTAAATTGTGTAAATCATCAATGATTCAATAAATAGGCTAACTATACTGTATCGAATTTTGCCTCAAACACGAAATCACTGTGAGAAAATCTGAGGAATCCTGAGGAATATTTATGACTATACCGCATCATAGAAACGACCTTTCTCTAGAGTGGATCGAATTTCTCAATGACGTCTGTTAAAATTTTAGGGATGATCTAAAACCTCGACAACCTCTAAGCTTTCGTGATTGTAAAACCCCCGAACGTGTGTTGTGTTCTGTGTGGTCTTGTCCGATCACAGACAAGACGAATTCCGGAAGTTTGTATTTCGTGTGTCCAGTTTCTAAAGAATACTAATTTCTTAGAATTCAATATAAATTGATTTTGTACTTCGATAATTTCTTGTTTCTTCCTTAAAACCCATTCACCAAATTCCCGATGCATTGTCAACAATATTTCCTACTTATAAAGCCATACTGCTCGGTTCATATTGATTCTATCGACTTGTTTTAAAAGAATTGTTTTTAATAAGAAACTTCTGGAATTATTGAATTTCAGACCATGTCATTCGTCATCGAACGTGCACATTTAAAAGAAATGATGTTCAACATAATATCGTTGATGTGAATTTATGATAACGGTAATGATAACTAGAAACTAGTCATTTAACTGTAGAATTATGCAGACTATAACCGTTGTACATGCGAGCATCTCACTTTATTCATCCGATTTACACTGAAATAATTCGTCGTTAGAGTAATAACAATCAAACTATGTTTTTAAACCTTTACCCATCCAACTTCCAATGATTTTGATAGTAGGCAAGCTGAACGTTTCTTCCATAATACATTGTAAATTTTCAGTCTCAATGTAAAGTATATCACTAAAGCACATATAATTTCAAATAGCACTTCTTAAGAGAAATGTGTTATTGTTTTGATAATAATGCAGAATGAAATATCTATATGTGTGATAGGACCTTTATGTTTGTAGTATCCAAAATTATCTTATCCATTCAAAATATATAATGTTACAATGGAGATGAAATTCAGGTTGTTATAAATGGTAACTATTGTTTACACGTATATTTATAGCTCATAAATTGTATACGATGATTTCATCATATCAGTCATAGTCTACAATCTAGGAATAAAAATTTCAATGGAGATCATTAAATCGTATTATTCACATGGATTTTAGGGTGTTTTTTGTACTTAAAATATATTATAATAAAAGAAATATCATTTAAAACTGTTTGTATTTGTTATAACTTGTGGCCTATGTACCCTGTTAATGTATGACCTGATGATACCGCCAATTAAAGAACAGTGATTTATCAATCGGACCAATGACGCATAAAACCTGCACGAACAGTCTAGAGTACTTATCGGTCCTGCTTCCTGTCTAGCCCAGCCAGTTAAGTCCAGAACACCAATCTCAGCCTCTGCGATATGAATCATGTATTTCAAATATACTGGGTTTACATACCAACCAGAGAGACCACATCGTACCATAAAATAGTAAAACAACATTTGTACAAGATTTAGGCAAATGTGGCTGTGAATGTGGGAGACTGGGCATAACTCAAGAATGGTAAATTGTATATTAACAGTTTATAGGTCAAAATAAATCTCATAATGAGCGGAACATGAATAGTTTAGTCATTTAACAATTACACGATAACAACATACGCATAGTACTGGTCCATAAACGGGTCCCAACAGTTACCATTCATTATTCTTATCGGAATATAACAGTATTAAACCTTAATAATTAGATTTTGGGCTATTAGTATCTTAAAAATAAATAATTTAAGAGTTTCATATCTTCGTTAAATTCAGTAACGACTAGGAAGTATACATTGTTGATCTATTTATTTCGTTCTCTGTCACAACCAATCTAGTTAAAGATTACTTTTGTTGATCAAAGTGTCCATTCCTTTGATTTTCGTCTTGTATGTATTGCTCATTTACTGATCATGTCTTCATTGACATTGTACTTAAAATCTAGACATATCGATTAGATTTGGTTACAAACACGTCGTCATCGTCTGAAGCACAGCATCAGTCTTCCCAACATCGTGGGGCTTACATTTCTTTGTCTTGCATTTGTTATACATTTATCAATTTATATCATCATGAAGAAGGTAGTCAAACTTGTTGGTCATCATCAAGTGCGACTATGGAATCTATCGATCATCAACCTTGTCATCATCGTTTATCAAATGTCTCATTAAATAGTCTTCGCCTAGGTATACCATCATTATGGCATTTATTTTGGATAAATCCAGTCAAAATTGTCATTAATTATTATCGTCAATCGGGCATTTTAGTAGAAAATGGTGAATCTATGGAACAAAGTGGAGAAATATCTGAAAGAAGGGGATATATTTACTCGACTTTGAAGAAATTGACTGACGGTACGTTATCGTTCATTTCTCTGTTGCTTTTCTTTCGTTACTTCTCTTATGGTTAAGTTTCCATTCATATCGAAATTATAACCAAAAACGATATCAGTAGAGTGAAATCACGGAGATTGTGTTTATCATATATTCAGAAGTGTTTTGCTGTCTTACACGGTATATTGACACTTGTTTATATTGATTGACATTTCCCATCAACAACCATACGACAAAACAAAACCTTAGTAAGATTTTTTGAACTTACATATGTATTATGACAAAAAACTGTTAACTTGAGTTTTACAGGACAAATAAATGATGAATAAATTGTATTTTTCTATGCTATCGTAACTTTCCAACTATGTTCATGCATCAGGATACGTTTCTTGAAAACAGTTCAAAAAAACAATGATTTTCTGTATTGATTCTGTCATGATGATATATTTTACAGCTTTTCGTAGTTTTTACCAGTAAAATAAGTCGTTGTTATGGTATTTTTAGACCTCGTTCGCACTGTTGAATCATGTTTTACAACTTTATTGTCAAATTCATTTATGTTCAAGATAAATGCGATGAAATCTCATGAAAAAAATTTCATATTAATTCAGAAAAAAAAGTATCTTAGTTATGTCCAAAATGGTAGTAGTAGATTTGTTTGTCTTTTATACTTAAAATACTTACTTACGCGTGTTACTCTCAATGGTGCATAGGCCGCCGACCAACATTCTCTAACCACTCTGTCCTGGACCTTCCTTTCTAGTTCTGTCCAATTTTTGGTCATTTTTCTTATAATTATCTCCATTTCTCGGCATAATGTGTTGTTACGCATAGCTTTACAGCGACAGTGTATCTATCAACCATTAGATGACAGAGGTGCTCTTAAATAATTACTAAATTATCACTTAACAAAAGATGTGATTCAGAGAAGAGTATTTCAACTCGTACTAAATTGTGTTCATAACTTTTATTCATTTCATGCTCTTTGTACGTGGTAATTTTCAACACAACTTCTATTAGATTGTAATGGAATTAGGAGTAATCCTGGGTGTTATTTCTATCTGATAATTTGTTTTTCTTACTGTTTTATGATTACAGAAATCAAAGTTAACATCTACAAACTGAAATCAGTTGATTTGCCTAAATCAAACCACGATGAATTACTTAGTGGATTGATTGTTTTGTCCTCATGTCTCAATGTTATTCTACCTTGTATTGATCCAGATCAAAAAGAACCTTTTGTGATCAAAAAGATGATATATCGTTTGAGCAAATTATCTGGTTAGCCTCATTAGTTATTCGTTACCAAGTATTATTTATCGTCGGTCGGTGCACGTCTTCTTGCTGACTTAACTTTGTTAAGACCAGTTTATACATTAAATATTTTATTGCCATTATTATTGTTTACTAGTAACGGCATTTTTTACCAACTGATTCATCAACATTATGTGTCGGTACATTGGAGACATTTTTAAGTAAGTTCAGCTTTCTTTGTAATGTGTGATGTTTGAAATAGACTACATGAAATACACGAATACTATATATATATATATATATATATATATATATATCAATGGTTGAGATCATGAGATCACCATGGAAAACCTGCCGGCTCAGTGGTCTAGTGGATGCACACTGCTGAGCCCCACAATAGGATGAAACGGCCGTCCAGTGGTTGCAGGTTTTCCATGGTGGTCTAGCTTCATGATCTCAACCATTGAAATTACTATAATATCCACAAAAACCCTTCTGATATATATATTAGAGACTGTTTGAAAATTTAGATATTAAGCTACTAGTTTGTTTACATGTTTTGAATCAAGTAGATAATTTACTTTTTTATTCATGGTTTTCAATCGCAAATGCTCAGTTTTATTTCCGGTGTGATTATCATGGTTTATTGTTGAACTATTTCATCATGGAATAAATTTGTTATCAGTACTTTACTTTCATTCGTAGCTTCACACTTTTCAATTTATCATTTTTGTTTTCACTAACTTGGTATTATGTTTTGTTTACAGCAATTGTTGAAAAATTCTCCAACATGCATAATTCATCCAGCTATATTCTTCAAAGTGTCCCACCAGTTATTCTTGACGATCCACTTGCTGAACCGAATTCAAAGTCATCTTCATTATTATCAATGTGTAGATGTTTTATGAGTTTTGTGAATGAACAATCGACATTGGATTTTGAGTCGAAACTTCCAAATGAATTAACAACTAATATTACTGTTAATAGTAATAGTGAAGATGGAACAAATTCATCATTATCTAATAATTTGAAATTGTTTTTACCATATGTAGTTTTATTACTAACTCCAACTTTAAGATTAATATCAAATTCTAATCAACATATACGTTCTACAGCAGGAAGATTGTTTGCAGCTTTATTGAATTTACTACCGTTAGAGGTGTGTTTATTTATTGACTTCATAATGTTTATTCTTTTTCTTCATCATTTTAATATCTATATCTGAAAATATTGAAGTATTCATTTGGTTAGGCTTTTGATCTGTGTTAGTTTCTCAGTAAAATTCAATAGCTCAAAATCCGTATATAGTGTACACTTTGTATTTGAAATAGTTGAGAATATTTTAATCTCAACGAATAAAATTGTCAACTTAGGTAACACTCTAACCTGAACCGATTTTGATTACTATCTTATTGTGAAAATATATTTAACAAGAATCAATTGTATGTTCTTTTCTGTTAACACACGAAGAACATATGGTATTGAACAAGAACAAGAGTGGGGATAATCGAATGTAAAATCTGAGAATCATACAGTAAATATTTAATTTACAAAATATCAATATATTGTTACAAATTGACTGTTCTTTTGCAAATATCAGTCCATCATCTCAGAATCTATTTTTCTACATTTTCATACCAATTGCTTTCCGTTCTTTCCTTCTCGATTCTACTGAAATACATTCTATTCTTGACTATCGTTATATACTACACATGTGGATTTATGTAGCTCACCATCACATACATACCAGTTAAAAATAATTCTTCTTTTGTTCTTACCAGATTTCGTATTTTCAGGCTTAACTATTAAAGGGTTTGATTATTAAGAAAATTCTTTTCTGAACTCATTAGCATATCATCTAATTGATTAGATACTTTTTTTGCATGAGAGTGAGAGAGAGAGTTTCTCTCTGAGTAAATCATAAAACTATATATAGGTGATTCATATTTTGATATGAAAATTAGTTTTAATGAAATGTTTTGTGGAGATTTTAGAAATTTCACTGATTGAAATCATGAGTCAATTGAAG